ATGGCTTTAGTAGCCTGGATAGCAGGCTCCAAGGAAAGATTTAACAGGCTAGGGGCAGGGATAGCTCAGTAGGTAGAGTGGTTGCCCCATGATCGGAAGGTCGGGGGTTCGATTCCCCTTAACAGCTACCCTGAGGTACCCCTGAGCAAGGTACCGTCCCTACACACTGCTCCCCGGGCGCCCAATGGCTGCCCACTGCTTCACTGAGTGAATGGGTTAAATGCAGAGAGCAATTTCCCCACGGGACTCAATAAAGTACAATAATAATAATAATAATAATGTACACCTTTAAGAGCTATCTGCACTAATGAAGAAGAACACTCAGACTTCTACCTTTACCTCTCACAAAAGGTTGGTGAGGAAAGGTTAGAGAAAGGATAAGCACATTCAGGTCAACTAAAATCACCCAACTGTGAAAAGAAGCTGGGCTTCAGAGGAAGTGTGATGTAAAAACCCTTCTGGATTAACCATTGAAGCCAAAAAATACAAAACTAATCTGCAGGTTCATAGGTTGGGTTTTCCCTGCTGGATTTTTCAACTGTGACCTTCCTAGAGCCAATCTTCGCCCTCCGTTTGGCAAATCCGATCACGCCGCCATCTTCCTCATGCCAAAATACAAACAAAGGCTGAAACAGGAAGTTCCGGTTCAGAGGAAAGTCGCGCACTGGACAGACCAATCGGTGGCCACGTTACAGGACGCACTCGACGACGCAGACTGGGACATGTTCAGAAACAGCTCCGATGATGACGTCAACATGTTTACGGAAGCGGTTGTAATCCGCGTTACTGTAATCCGATTATTTTTTTCAAGTAACGAATGTTACTTGAAACGAATGTAAGGGATTACTATTGCAAAATAAGTAATTAGGTTATTGTTACTTTCCCATAGCCACGCTGCGTAACTGCGTTACTAAACCGTGATTCTGTTTGTGAGAGTGTCTCAAGACAGTGACGTATGAGTGTGCAACATCTGTGGCAGCAACAGACGTGTGCAGATTAACAATGGATAATATGGAGTGATGGAGAGAGTATGACCATGCAGCGTTTAAAGTGTGGAAGTAATCACATTACTCTGAGTTTGATTCCGTAAAAAGTGACACAAACATTAGTGTCTGCTGTTCACTCTGCGTGGGAAGAGAACTTCTTTCTACAGCGAAAAATGAAACTTCAAATCTGAGCAAGCAGCGAGCACGCCGCCACGGGAACGTGACATTCACAGAGAAACCCCCGGATCCTCCCACTGATATGACCGCTGTGGGCAAACCTCCACCCGCTCCACTCCTGTTAAACACGGACAACAGATTTAAGAGCCGCTGAGTCTTTGATTTTATTTATTTTCTGCTGTGTTTTACTTGCATCTATTTGAAAGAGTGTAAACACAAAACATGATTTGATTTTATATGCTGGAATATGCAGAACATAGGTTTAAATGTTAAACACGTTTCTTCAAGTCAAAGACTGTTGATACCATTTAATGTTTGCTTGATGCATAAAGATAAAAGAGTAAAACTCATAAAACAAGTTTTTCATTTGATTTAATTTTATATGATGTATTATTTATAAAAAATAGAATTGGGCTAAATGGTCTATTGCTAACTAACTAATTACTTTTGCAAATAAGTAATCAGTAAAGTAATGGGATTAATTTTTTTGGAGAGGTAATCAGTAATTAGTTACTGATTACTTTTTTCAAGTACCTTGACCAACACTGGTAACGAGTACATGCTCATGTTAATATTTTGGGTAATCCTTTGATCAGTATTAAGAGATTGTGCAACTGTGTTAACCATGAGTAAAATCACATTTAAGTGATGGTTCTGTCTTTAACCGTGACAACACTTAATACTATTTTTCTAATACAGGATTATGTTTATGATTAGTTGGCCACACAGTTGTAATCTTCCTGCATTCCTTCACACACAGAACTGCCAGGGTTTACGCTGGGTCATGTCCACAGACACTCATGAACCTCAGTCACTGGAAGAGGCAGTTCTACTACTCAAACTACATTTCTCATTTATATATTGATCACATTTATATTTTATCTTTTATTAAGAATTAAAAATGCTTTATTGTTGGAAAGTAGGGAAACGTTCTGGTTTAGCACTGATCATTTTTACTCACATAAGCCTGGATATTAGGACCTGTGATGTAGGGGCAGGGGGAACTTCTCCTTCTACCCCAGGTCACATGACACAATCCCACTTTTAGTCACTATTTTAAGACTTTTGGTTACATCGTTTGGTCTTCATGAGCAAAGGATAGCTTGGTTCTCATTAATTAGTAACATGTCATCATCTTGCCTTGCTGTTTCGGGTTTAGTCATCTCAGTATTTAGCTCAAAGTACTTTTATTTTGAAATTATTTAAAGGCAATGTTTTGATCTAAATATGATCGCATGTGTCATATGATATGATACAGGGTGAGCCCATATCATATATCATGGAGTGGGGTACGCTTCTGCTTTCTGAAATTGAGGGTCAAATAAAATTCATGGTGTTGAGTTGGTCATTGTGATAGTCACAGCGTCCCACCTGACACTGTTTGTAACAGCTGCTAATAGCTAACCTGTTAGCTGTCAGTCAGTTCACCTTTCTTTGCAAACAGTTTCTCAAACGCTGACGTTCCTCAGTCGCCTTTCTGTCCCTTTTCTTTCTTTTCGACACAGCGTGCATTAGCAACAACCATGACAGAATAAATGAGCAGTTGTGTAGACAAATAGTAAAAGAAGACTAGTTTTTAGGAGGAGTCTTTATCTTACAATATAAAGGCCTCAAGGCAGCTGTTGTGGATTGGTGGTAAATATGTTTAAATTGAACTGAATTACTGCGTATCATAGGACGTCATGTAGGCATGTAATAGTGCATGTTTGGTAGGTGGGTACATTAGTGTCTATCATGGACTACAGTGCAGTGTAACATGTTACATTTCATTAACCATGCAACAGTCATGTGCCATGACGAGGGCCTGTGTTCTGGCATAACGTACTCTGCAGTGTGGTGCAAAGTTTTGCTGCAGGTAAAATTCCTCAATACAGATCAATCAGAATCAGTTGTACCTTTTAGTGTGTTTTATTTTTTTCTTGATCTGAGAAAAAAGTAAAACGTCTGACATTTCCCACAGTGCTGTAGTGGTTAGCACTCAGAACAGCACACACACCTGGACAGGTCAGGGCAGGCATCCATAAAATTAAACCTAAACACATGCAGCTTTGCCACATTCCTGACTAAAACAATGAGCCTTCTGTGCTGAAGGATCTCATAAGTCAAACATAAATGAGTCGTTAAAGTCCCTGTCTGAATGCCAGCATGACTGTGGTGCTGCCCCAAGCTTTCAGTGAACATTCCTGTTTAGATCACACTTCATAAACTGAAAGACTTTCTATCTGTGAACCAGTAAGACTGGCAGGGATAAGGACAGTGATGAGAGCATTAAAGTGACACATTTTGCTGTTAAATTGCTACATAAAAATAGATCTGCTAATCCCAGGGTGCTGTCCATTGTTACTATAAATGGGATACTCTGCTCCGGTGAGCAAGTTTGGAGGCGTTGTTTGTAGTTACGTGTCTGTGGTGAAAATCCCTGAGTTGTGCTGATGCCAGCTTTAAGATAAGATAAGATAGAACTTTATTAATCCCTCGGGTGGGTTCCTCTGGGAAATTCGACTTCCAAAAAAAGCACAGCAACTTCCTCATTGTTGAGGCCTCCACCTGAAACTGTCCTCCGTGTATAAATAAAAAGAATAATACAAATGAAAAAATGAACACTTGTTTCATGTAAGAAACATCATTTCTTCTGAGTGCATGGATTATAATGAGTAAGGAAATGGACAGTACAACTCTCCATGTATATTTTTGTTTTATGTCATCTTGAGCACAATTTGTCTTTTTATTTAGGTCACACACAGGATGCTTTATTTAGAAAAACAAAAACAAAAAAACAGTTTCCTGTTTCCATCCCAGCTCTCAAAGTTATCACTGCGTCTTTTGTCACTTGAAAATTACTCATCTATTCAGATATACTCTTTTTTTCCATGCATGTCTCACTTGCCAAGAGATGATAGAGAAAGTTCTCTGTAGTCATAAGCCAAGGACACAGTTAGACTTTGATCAAAAAAGCTATTGTAAATACGTTGATCTGGACACATTGTTACATAACAGATTCCACAGCCAGTCACACCTGTTATATCTGTATTTATCTTTTTTGTATGCATCACAAGATTTTACAATGATTTTTAATTTATTGCCCATTTATGCCAACAGGTTTAATGAATTTCTTTGTTTAATTTTCCTACCTTTGTTCAGACCACAGTTTCAGTTTATTTGTGTTTTATCTGAGTTTTTCCTTTTTGACTGCATCTCAGAGGGAAGCTCTGTATTTTGTGTGCTAGCAGTGAAAAGTATATGATGTAATAAATGATCATGTTTTTGTTGATTATTCTGCCCAATGGTAATAAAGCTATTTCATTAATTTCACCCCAGCAAGTCTGATTAAAATTTCATTTACACTGGCAAAGCATACGTCTTTGGGTTTTGCAACTTTTAATTGAAATAATGAAATGATCCCAGTGCTTTTATCAGCCTGCGCTTCTTTGTTCAAATTTCCTTCCTGGAAAATTGTTGCTATTTCAGTGTTTTGACATGAGCAAAAACAAAGTCATGAATTGTAAAGTAACCTCAAAAGACATTGGTGAAACGTCAACCACACCCTGTGTGAGCTGTCTATAAAGATGCAGCAGCTGAACAGCTTCTGCATCCACCAGACGCCTGGTACAGCAGGTAAGCAGCTCACCTCCTCATTTCGTCTCGATACATGCTCAATCGTACAGGTAAGGAAGTCCCAGAAAGCTGATTCTGTTCATGTGGATGTTGCATTTTCAGTGGGAGAAAATTCAACATCCAGATGAGAAGAATCAGATTTCTGGGTTCTCCTCACAGCATTGATTTACTTTACTGTTCCAGCATTTATACACACTGAAGTTCTTATAACCAAATGCTGGTCAGACTTTGACTGTAGGTTAACTGCAGAGGACCAACATCATGACTCCAGCTTTCTTCTTCTCCCTCTTCCTGTCAATGACGGTCGTTTCTCTGGTACGTTTGACTCTTGTTGTTTTGGTAATGTTGTTAAACGCTGCCTGCTGTTCTGTGAAAGCCGTGAACTTCTCACCATGTCTGCTTATACCAGTGACCACGATACCAAAATCTGTCAGTGTGATTTTAAACGCGATGAACAGCAAGTTAATGTGTTTGCTGTTTTTGTACTGCAGAGGGCTGCTGTCATCAAAGATCCAAGTGGTGCGTTGAACGATAAAATACTTCCCAGATGTTAAAGTTAAATTGTATCTGAGAGCTTATAGTTAACATGCTGCCACTCCCTTGTGTCCTCAGATGAGTTTTTGGGTGCCTCAGCGATCATTGAAAAAGTCAACGCTAACATATGTAAGTGAAAATGTACATAATAAAACTCTTTTGGTTAACATAGAAATACTGGAGGAAAAATGGAAATTTCCAGAGCCTGTTAACAGAAAATAGATGGCCAACACTCATGATGATCAATCACTCACTTTCTCCTTTTTGTTTTACATTTTATCACTTAGCATTCAACAAGTAAACATGCATTCTGTGAACATCCATCCACTCTCTGTTTGTTGTGCTGCAGCAAAAGGCCTGGTTCATGGCGACATTGCACCCACTTTAACCAAGAATGCTGATCCATGCACAGCCACTGGCTGCAAGTGGCCCAAAAGTGGAAGCCATGTCACTGTACCTGTCTCCATCTCCTCTGTATATTGTAAGCAACACAAACTTTACCCTTAAACACTGACTTCAGATATTTCTCCCTTGGATGCTCATTAAACTTGTTGTCAAATGTCATCTTTATTAAAGAGTTAAAAGACAGACCAGGAAACACGAGCTGTTTAGGCTGAAGGATGAAATATGTAATGAATCAAATAGATATATAATTTAGGTTGTTTCTAGAATAAGTCACTTGAACTGAAATTATGTAAACTGAAAATAATAACATGTTTAGAAACCAGCTTCACAGAGAAAACTAAAACTCTGTGACAACTACAGCAAACAGATCCACAAACGTGTCAAATTATGTTTTCATTTAATGTTGATTTCCATTCTCCTGGGAATGGAAGCATGGGAAGTATGAGAGTTATGGGGATATCGACTCTTTATGTTTAAAATTCACTGTGAAATATGGTGACTAGCAAGTACAGGGAAACTCCACACACAGAAAGCCAACACAACCTTTTTACAATGCGGTGACACCACTGATGTTGCCACATGGATAGCTGAAACTGTTTGTTATACTTGTAATTTTATTGTCACAGTGGCAGTGTCAACAGTCTCCTAAGCACAGTTTAGATTGCTAATATTAAATATACAGACGACTGTCAGGTGTCACGTGATGAGAGGGGAAGCACGAAAATATACATAAACATTGCTAAGCTGTTGAATTTTTTCTCATAAAGCATGTCTGAGAAATTCAACTCTATGCATCAAATAAACTACACATGAAGGTGATGCAGTGTTACTGTTGTTCAAAGAAGCTCCTCAGCAGACTCGTATTTGTTTGTGCAGCCACCCAGGAGCGCAACATCATCATCAGTGCCCTGCTCACCTTCCACGAGTCCACCTGCATTCGCTTCGTCTGGAGGACAGACCAAGTCAATTACCTTTACTTCTTCTCTGGAGAAGGGTGAGAATGCACTCCCTGTACTGACACTGTATGACAAGACAGGACTGACACACTCACGTCCTCAAAACCCTTTAAAATGTAAATAATTATTGCAAATATTCTATTTGTATCATGTGACAGCTCCATCCTGTGCTGAAATTCTACTGTAAAATGTCCAGCTTTATTATTGTTTGCTACTATATGAAATGTATACCCTTCATAAGAGGGTAAATAGCATTTTGACGATCTGTTCTCAATTATTTCACATACTGTTTAGTCCACTCGTGCCAGGACTAGAGACTGGCATCTTGTAAGGCAATAAGATGAATCTGGAGTGGGTTGTTAAATGATCAAGGGAAAACAGATCTTTAAAAACCTTAGGAGATTGGTTAGACCGGTATCTTTTTATTTATTTTGGCTGATAGTAGATAACTGTTTGTGTGTCAATCTCAATCGTTTTTTAACAATCTTACTGTGTATCAGGTGTTATTCGTACGTGGGCCGTCAGAGCCGAGGACAGGGAATCTCCCTCCAGAGAAACGGTTGCTTGTTCCAGTCAACGGTGCAACACGAGGTTCTTCATGCTCTGGGCTTCCACCATGAGCAGGTCCGCTCCGACAGGGACCAGTATGTGAAGATCCTCACCGAGAACATCATCCCGGGTCAGCTCAACTACACAAACCTTTGGTTACACTTCACATTAGTCCAGGACAGCAGACACTCTGTTTTATACCAATGAGCATTTTACAAGTAAGCTGTGCTTTTCCAAGCTCAGCAGATAAGACAGCAGTGCATCCGGTATTCCTTTGGTCCCGAGACTCTCAAACCAATAATAATAAATGTTTGTAAGACTTCAAAGGCATCATGTCAGGAATGTAGAAGTATCTCAGTCACTTTATTTGACGGGAAATAGAAAGTGTGGAAGTAACAATGCAACATGGAGTAACTACTAAGCATGATACTTTACTGCTTGGGGGGATACAAAATAGTAAAACCAATTATATAGTAGTAAATAGTCTTTTGTGAGTATAAATAGTAGATATATGTCTTCATGATATGGAAGCATTTATTCATGTACATGTAAAAAATGTTTTGCCATAGCACTTTCTTTGTTGCTTTGCAGTAGTCATTCATGTTTAACCTTCTTCCTCATTTTCGCTCGGAATGTAAATGTTATATTGTAAATACGTCACGGCTGGTTCAGCAGTCATGTGGTGTTGTGAGAAAAAGGATCCAAAATGCAGGTACTGGCTAGGGTGCGAGTGAGTGTTTATTTATAGTAAAAGCAAAGTAAAAAAACAGAAAGAGCAGAACGGGGAGTTAACAATACCTAAACTGGGGAAAAGTAAAGAACTAACCTGAAACCATACGCACAGAGAATGTTGGGCAGAGAGACACAGAAATTACACCCGGTTACACAGATGACGCAACGAGGAACACAGGCAGGCACACACTATACACACAAGGTAATGAGGGAATGACACACCAGAGGGGAACACAGCTGAACCTAATTAGACACGACGAGACCCAGACCTTCAAAGTAAAACAGGAAACTCAAACTGTTTTACAAACACAAACTCAGGGACACAAACAGAGCACAACAGGGAAGAACTCAGGTGGGATAATAAAGCACTGAACACCAGAACCAAACCCTAACAACTAATACAAAATCAACAATAAGCTCAAAACACTGGGTCACCGACCCAGGACCATGACAAAATATACCAACATGCAGACCTTATGGTTAGATAATTGTCATCTTCACAGAGCTGAGAGCAAAGATTTGTAGTTGAATATCGTGGCAGCCACGACAGAGTAACATTTAAACATTTGTCTCCTGGAAATATCTGTGCAGGACAAGAGAGCAACTTTGAGAAAGTGCTTACCAACAATTTGCAGACTCCCTATGACTTCAACTCTGTCATGCAATATGGCAGGTGAGTTTGATGGAGCTTGTAAGGTGTTGTGTTACCTTTCATGTTTTGCATTTTCTGAGAGAAAATGTCATCCAGAATTTAAAAAACACGGATTCATTGCTAGGATTTTAGTGTGACTATTCAATACTTTTAAAGGCCTATTTTCTCCCCTGTTCATAAATATTCTTTATATAAGAATGAATGCTGCATATATGAGCATGGTACAGTCACAGTATATGCTGTCGTTTGTTCTTTTAGATACTCCTTCTCCAGGAATGGGCAGCCAACGATTGTTGCTAGGTCCAATCCTAATCTTGACTTCGGAAATGCTTTTCAGATGAGCGCCAATGACATTGCTCGTATAAACAGGCTTTATGAATGCTGTGAGTAATTAAGACACACAATAAGACAAAACAACAAACATACTTTCTTTTTGTAAGAATCACATACTTCACAGTACTCACTGGATTTCATCATTTTTTCTCAAACCAGAACTTTGGCATGACAATTCAACTCTACATCCAAATACTTCAGTTCTCAAAACATCAGGATTACAAGAAGGAGCATGTCGTCGATGCTGCAAAAATATGAAAGAAACAGGAAATGTGCTGCAAAGTTTTGCAAATATGTCACATTTGTCACAATTGAGAGATCAAGATCTGAGTCTTTGTGTTAGAGAATATGCTTATATGCCAGAGGGGTCATTATGTTTCTCATCTTTGTTAGTCAACTATGACTACCTGATTTCTTTCTTCTTTCTTGTAATTTGATAATAATTCAGATTCTAATTGTAAATGATGCAGACATAGCCCCAAGCCTTGTGACCACCACTCGCTTCAAACAATAATCCTGGAATCATCATGATTGTTGTCTCACTCTGTAGTAAAATAAAGTAATATTAGCATGACATGTCTAACATTAGCCATGTTGAAATCACCAAGTCAAACTAAGGAATATTTAATCCCAGCATACATAACTTTGGCAGCATCTTCTCTTTTTTTTTTTCATGCCATCTTTTTTCTTCGGGTTGCTCGTCTCTTTCTGTAATAAAAGTTGAATCGAATAAAATCCCATATTTCCAGCAAAAGGGGGCAGTATTGTTTCATTATTTTACAGAGATGTAGAGGACAGTGCAGTGTATCCCCAAAGTCCTTAGAGCACCATGATTGTTTAAGCTTTATCACAGCAGGTTTCTTTGAGCAGTGTGTTCAGCTCAAAGTTATGTTAGAAATAGCTGTTGTGGTTAAAGTTGGACAAAATGTTACCAGTGACTTTTTCAGTGTGCAAGAAATGCATAAATTTGACTTTATAAATAAATGTTCCGCATTTAAAACCTGAAAAATCATAACAATATTATTGAACAGGGTATTAGAAGTATGTAAAGCAGCGCCTGCAGAAGCGTTTCTTAAGTTAATATTTATGCAGCATTGTAATATCGTAGCCAGTCAAAGTCACACAAATCTTTATTTGTGGGTCCAAAAGTCCCACATTTTACTCATTTAAGTGAAAGTTAAAATCTGCAAATTGTAGATTATTGTCACAATACTTTTCTTTTTATCAAAATGTCTTTCTCAACATATCTTCCCTCCTTTTTCTTTAACAGCAACAGAATTTTGTAAAAAATATTTTTTCTCGGTCAACTAGTAGCTCTTGTAAAAGTGTGTTTAGGCTCATTATCCCGCTCCAGTATCAATAATTCTCCAGAACGATTTCAACCAAAGAGGGAAACATACTACTTCCTCTTGGGCAGGTGGAGTCAATTCAGTCCAGGTAACTCCAGAACAGCCAAACTTGAATATTCCCACCACCACCATGATGCACCGTACAGTTATGGGATCCGATTATTTGTCACTGTTACTGTTTCTACTAGTTCCAGTTCACAAAGTTGCCTTTGTCTGTTTGTCTGTGTAACTAATTAAGTATACAAGCTGGGAATGTTAAATGGTGGCATTTAAGGAGCTGCTGGCTAACAGCTTAGTTTCCTGGTCTAATGCTGAGTGACAGCTACGTTTTAAGGTGAAATGATAGTTTGGAGATCTCAGACACTTGGGGAACAAAACAAATGAGCAGCATAGAATGACGCTCAGCTGAGGTCCCATAAAATACTGCCAGCCCTTTTGTCCTGCAAGTCGCTTTGTAACCCACCTTCACCCCAGTTCCTCCATTGCATGCTGTGTATGACTCAGACATGCCCGATATGCTCTGTGGTGGGGTCTTGTTCCTGCTCTCACTGCCTTTAACTTATGCACAGGAATATATGGGAAATGTTAATATACATGTAAATGACTAATGACTGATTCTACTAGAGTGCTCCTGACACATAGTTTTGGCTACAACAGTTTCAATGTCATACTGGAAAGCCTTTGGGTCAGCTGTGACTAAACAAAGGCGCACAAGTCTTGTCCTTGTCCACAGACATGTACTGTTTACTAAGGGAGTGGGAGTTTTCTTTATTTTAATTTTCATATGAGTTCTTTAAAAAGCCAAATGCTCTGGGTCTCCTTTGTCCAGCTGATGGACAGAGCCCACATAAACAGAGCATTTCTCTATACCTTTCTCTGTGTTTCTCTTTGCATCTTTGCTGTTTATTTCACTCAAGTGAATCATCACTCAATGGTAGTGGGCCTCGGATCCTATAGCTCAGTGCACTTGTGCAATCATTTTCGTAGTAAAAACTAAAATTAGGAGAATTTTTAGCACTAGCAGAAAATGGATTCCCATGGAAAGCTTTATTTTGAAAGGTGTCCCTCTCATCTAATGTGCTGCAGGCATCCACGCACTCAGATATGAGTACAAATATGTTCAAATAAACACCAGCAATCCCTACAGTGTCTGGCTCTGTGTGTTGTTCTGTGGCTGAAACACAGAAAAAATTTTGCAGCCCAGTCTCCTGCTAAACAATTGCTAAACTCCTGTGATCAGTGGTTTTCAGGAGCGGGGAATTTCTCCATAGCTTGGTTGTAATGAGTGGTTCTTTAAGATACTTTTACCTTCTTCTTAGCTCCAAGCAGTCTGTCCCATTCACCTCAGAGAACTGCCACTCACTCAATATTTTCTCTTTTTTGGACAGGAACACATCATAAATAGGGTGAGTAACAAAACACATGGCAGTTTAGGCTGCAGGAAGCGGGCATTTGGTTAAATGAAAGAGACAAAAATAAATACAGAATTAAAAAACACCACTCAAAGTAGACTCCAGAGTCTCCCATCTTTTTTTAATCTAAAGTCTAATAACAGAGCCAAGAGGTATAAAAGAAAACATCATCTGAGTCCACTTCATCTGTTGGATGCTAAAAAAAATCTTGTATGTCTACGTATTTATGTATGTCGGCAATTGTATGGATTTGTCTCTTGAATAATTAAATTATTGGTTAATTGCAGTAGTTGAGGTGGTAAATTCTATCATCAACTAATCAGCGTTGATTGATGCTGGGTCTGCCCATGCTGGAGAGATTATATCTCTCAGGCCTGGGAATGCCTCGGTGTTCCCCCAGACAAGCTGGAGGAGGGGACTGGGGAGAGAGAGTTCTGGGTTTCTCTGCTGAGGCTGCTGGCCACACAACCTAGCCCTGAATGCACAGGAGAAGATGGATGGATTCATGGATGGATGGATGGATTCAAGGATGGGTCGACGGATTCATAGATGGATGGGTGGATGGATAGATGGATGGATGGATTCATGGATGGATGGATGGGTGGGTGGGTGGATGGATGGATTCATGGATGGATGAATGGATGGATTCATGGATGGATGGGTGGGTGGATGGGTGGATGGATGGATTCATGGATGGATGGATGGATGGATGCATGGATGGATGGATGGATGGATGGATGGATGGATGGATGGGTGGATGGATGGATGGATTCATGGATGGATGGATGGAACTCATCAGTGTGTGACTTGGTATTTGAGGTCATTCTCTCCTCACCCACAACCGATCGTAGCAGATGGCCGCCCCTCCCTAAGCCTGGTGATCCATGAGGTTTCTTCCTGGGAAAAGGGACTTCCTTCCGTCTGTCGTCAAGCGCTTTCTCATAAGAGGCCACATGATTGTTGGGGTTTTGTTTGTATTACTGCAGGGTCTAATGTTTCTATAATTATGTTATTGTGTTTACAGAGTAAATAGGCATAATGTCCCTACATACCTACTATAATGGAACTGCATTGAGAGCGTGACTCAATATAACAAGTGAAAGTTTCACTTCCTGGGGAAAGTGTGTGACTCTTGTTGTCCTTGTTGCATTTTTTTCTATATAATTTTGGATGCATGTTTCGGCTTGTTGCCATGCTGCAGAACAAACTGGGACTGATCAGATGCTACCCTGAGGGTTCTGTGTAATTGATAAGAATCTGACAATTTTACTTTTTCTGTGTTTTGCCAGCACTGTATGAGTCTTTGCCACTGGCACACTGTAAAAAGGCTCATGGGAGTTGTACCTCCAGCTATTGGTTTAGTGATGTGGGCCATACACTGTGTTATCATTAATATATTTAAATGGAGAACTAATACATTGTGGGATTTTGTTTAAAGAAGTGTAAGGCACAAATGTTGGTTTCTGAATTCTCTTATCTGCTCTCAGGTCAGCCCAAATTGTCTGCAGGTTTCAGGAGACAGGGAAGGATCTGCAGGCAAGTGGGGGGAAGAATTAAACACCTTTCTTACTGTCAGGTGACCTTTAATGCGGTGAAAGGGTGTGAAGCAATGAGGAGGAATGTTTATACCAAGGATAGTCAAGGGGTAGTGAGAAACATGTCTCTTGCTCACACACATGCACACACACATGCACACACACACGCACACACACAAGCTGCTGTTTGTGTGTAGAAGAGTAAGGATGAGCAGATGGTATCTTAGCAACAGCACGTTAACAGAGGAGAGGGGAGAATGCTTCAGTGAAGGTAGACCAAACTATTGAGACTGCACACACACACACGTCCAGACTCTCCACTAATAGGTTAGTTTGTTGCCTGAGCCCCCGGGCAGCAGACAAAAGGCTTTGTATTTGAGTTACCTGATGTCGCGTTTCAGTGAGTGATTCCTGATATCTGCACTTCATTGATTTCTGATGGTGATATTAATCTCTTTGGATTTTAAAAAACATTTTATTCCTAAATATTCCAAGTATTTAAGTGAACAGCATTTTTGAATAGCAATGGTCATCCTACACAGCTACTGCACTAGTTACCATCAAAGGGAAACAACTGGTGTTGAAGAATACCTTAGAGCAACACGATTATTAATATATGAGAGAATTAAAAATTAATTAGTAGTATTTTTAGTATTAAAGTTTAGCTTGTTATCAGTTACTTTGGGAACATGTTTATGCGATCTGTTACTCTAATAGTGTCCCCTTTTTCATCAGTACTGAACAGACAATTCTTTCTGTCTCTATGCTAAGCTAGCATTAGCCTATCTTCACATAAAGACTGAAAGACAGGTAAACAGACTTAGGTAGCCATAAGCTAGTCTTGTTGCCTCAGCACCCCCATCCCTGAGCTTAGCTCTGCCACAGGTCTATTCCACTGAGTTCTTCCTCTTTACTGTCATAAGGATTGCTCATAGGGATCTGTGATTGTTACCTTGGATAAATGTTGTTGTGGAGATCAAAGGTCAGTCAAACCGAAAGCTAAAACTGCATTCTTTTATCTCCAGCTCCTATTCTTTGTAGTGAAGTGAATCAGCAGTCTGCGTTCATGTAGTGTGAACACTGCCGGGCTATTCACTGGCAGTTGAGTTTTTGTTTGACATGTTGTCAGAGCGAGTTTAAGTTCATTTAAGTTCTTGTTTGAAAATAGTTGGTGTAATTTCTGGTAGTTATAATTTTAATGTTTTAATGAACCTGATATAAAGGATATTTGTTTATTTACATTACTGTTTATTTGTTGTTGAGTTTTTTCAGAAGTTCAGAATAGACACTACAACTCAAATAAATCTGAGAATCAAAGGAAAAACAAATGCATCCACGCCCAACAGTTGATACGTGAAAATATTTCCTTTATTTATTTATTTTTTAGTTGTTTTATTTTAGTTTTTCTAGTCATTTCAGTAAAATTGTATTACATATA